CTGCTGCTTCCACACTTACACTTCCTGTTCTCTGCAAGGCAGCTGGAGTGACCTTTCACTATGTAAGTCATATTATATCCCCTCTCTGCTGCAAACCTTTCAATCAGTTTCCATGAATGGTTCTGGGAATAAAGTCCAGCTTCCTTCCCCTGATTCACTTGATCTGGCCCTTCCCACTTGTCTGACCTGTTTTCTAGCCCATGCTCCCTGTCCTTGTCTATACTCCTAATGTGTGGTCTTTCTATTCCTTAAACATGCCTGGCTCAGTCCCATGTTAGAGCACTTCTGCTGGCTCTGCCTCCTGCCTGGACCTTCACACAGCTGGAAATTCTTGCTTTTCAAGTTTTAATTTATTTTTATTTTTATTTTTTGAGACAGAGTTTCATTCTTGTCACCCAGGCTGGAGCGCAATGGTGTGATCTTGGCTCACTGCAACCTCTGCTTCCAGGATTCAAGCAATTCTCCCACCTCAGCCTCCTGAGTAGCTGGGATTACAGGTGCCTAGCACTGTGTCCAGCTAATTTTTGTATTTTTAATAGAGATGGGGTTTCACCATGTTGGCCAGGCTGGTCTCGAACTCCTGACCTCAGATGATCCACCCACTGTGGCCTTCCAAAGTGATGGGATTACAGGCGTGAGCCACCACGCCTGACCACAAGTTGTAATTTAAACATCACTTCCTCATAGAGACTTTCCCCGACAACCCCCTCAATCTCCAGGAGCTCCTCAGTCATTCACCATCAAAACACCCTATTTCGATTCTCTGAACAGCTCTTATTACTATCTGGTATTTTCCTGTTTGTTTTATATATTTATTTTCTCTCTCCTCTGTAGTAGACAGTGTCCAAAAATGGCCACCATCAAATCTTTCTCCCATTGTATACACATGCTGCTCCACTGTTCAAGAGGTCAAGTTTATTTCTCCTTCCATTGAATCTGGACTTGCCTCATGATTTCTTATCACTTGCTTTGACTGACGGAACAAGGCAGAGAGGATGCTGTGCCAGTTCTGGGCCTAACTTTCAAAAGGCTTGTCAACATCTGCTTTTACTCTTGGAGACCAGCTACCATGTAGCAAGTCTGACTACCTTGAGACCACCATGCTGTAAGGAAGCCCAAGCTCTCCACACGGAGACAGGCCATGTGGAGGAGCAAAAAATGCTGATGTTTGACAGTATGAATGCTGGAAACCAAGGAATTGAAATGAGAATGTGGGATATTGGAGTTTGTGTGTTTTCAATAAGTTTAGGGCTATTGAAGTTTACCATTTCAGTTCTGAGTTTTGAGAATGTACAGGATATAGAGATGGCTGAGGTGGAGAGGAGACAATGGATGGTCACCAAAGTTAAGGAGGTGAACAAATTTGAGGCCAGGATACTGGCTGATTCACACACGAAAATTCAGCTTTTCCGGGGCGATGGCTGGTCTGGCAGTGGGGAGAGGCACTGGAAGATTCCGCTTGGGAACTGTGAGAGCCACACAGGGGCAGGTGGTTTCCTTGGAAAGATCTAGTTTTGATGGAGGCAAACAGATTTCAGTGAAGAGTCTGCAGCCATAGAATGGAGAGACTGTTCACAACTGAACAGGGGTCTCAAGGGCAAGAGAGGGCAACCCAGAGAAACGGGTTGTCAGGAAAGACCTCAGCGGAAGACAAGTGAGGTGTGGGCGTGGCACCTCACTTGGGCTGAGAGTCGAGCAGAGTGCAGATTCAGTTTCACTGGGGGCAGAAGTGAAGGATGATTCCAATGAGATCACTGGGGAAGTTAACTGGCCTCAAGATTTTGGCTGACCTGGAGAGATAAAAATCTGGTTTTCCTGCCAACACATTCAGAAGAGGGAGAGTGTTTTCTGTTGGCAGGAGAATCAGCAATCAGAGACCTTTGCTCAGGATTCCAAATGAAACTCTGGTGACAAGTTGCAGGGCAGGGTATGGGTAGGCCCTCATCAGTAAACACCCTGCTGGCCTCGGGACCTTGACTCTGAGCAGAGGGGAGGAGCAGGCAGCTGAGCCATGTGGTGGACGAGAACCAGGCTTGCCTGCACTGCTCTACTCTGCAAAGCTTTGAAATTCTTAATCATTTCCTATCTAATGTAACGTTTAAGAATTAATTGTATTAATTTTGGATAATTTGACATTGTAAATAATTTTTGAACAAGGGCCCTGCATTTTCATTTTTCAGTGGGTTCTGCAATGTATGTAGCTGATCTTGCCACTATACTACTGTGTGCATGGGAAGGTTTCAAGAAACCCAGCAAACACAGTGCCCGTAGAGACAAAGACACACAGGACACATCCGAACAAAAGTAGGTAGTCTGTGCTGGCTGAAACCCATCAGGAAACAGGGGAAAGTTCATTCGTTCACTCACTCACTGAAAACTTTGTTAAGAGGGAGGAGGGGAGGTCCTGCTAGTGCCAGGAGCAGGGAGGGAGAAATAAACGACAGTCATGGTCCTCAAGAAGCTCCTACTCCGTGGAGTAAGAGAAATGTACACAGGAACAATGCAGCAGAATAAGGGCCGGGATGAAAAGAAACACCTTCCTTCCCTTTCTTCATTTTAGGGGTACACGGTTTGTCGAAAAGACATCCAGTTAAATTAAGGTAGTTCTGTCCTACTATACGGAAAACTTATACACGGTTTCTGTGAATATATGGTTTCCTCCCAGAACACCAAAGAACCTTCCTCAACAGGAAACCTCAGTGGCTTGTTCCCTCTGTGTGAGGATGTGTTGAAAAGAGCAAGGAGTCGATGTGGCAGGAAAAAAAAAAAATGGAGTTACTACTGAATGTTGGCATGATCCTGTGGTTGGAAGGTCAAAACAGAAACTGGCAGCACGACTTTTTATTAAAAGTCCACTTGGAGAGCTCACATGAGATTCTTTGATCTTATAGGTCAGGGCACTGAGCTTTAGGGCTCCTGAGTTTATTTGGTAGTGAGGCTGCTGGGTTTCTGAATAAAGACCTGTGGTTAGAGTGTGATTTCCTGCCCTGCTTTCTGCATTACAGGCGTGGTCTGCCTCACTCAGCCAGTCTCAAGGGAGAGAGGAACTGTGGCTGCAGTTTCCCGAATTATCCAAATTAGGACTCAAAAGAAGAGAGTTCTGAGGCCCAGCAACTCTGAGAAAATCCTGAAAAACCTTGTGATAAAAAGGTACATCTTTCCTTAAAGCCAGGGCACTATGTCAGTAGAACTGAGCCCTGGAGCTAAGTGAATGAAGGGCTTGAGAGTTGCTCTCAGTGGTGAAAATAAAATAGGTATTTAACCTTATGAATGGTGGCATTTTAGCCCAGAAGAGTGGAAGGGACCTGTGTTTTCTTTGCACCCATTACACTTAATACTTAGAGAGAGTAAGGCCAGCCCTAAAGTTCAAAGGAGACCCATCCATTTCCAAAAGGCTACTTAAAAAAAAAATTTTTTTTTTTGAGACGGAGTCTCGCTCTGTCGCCCAGGCTGGAGTACAATGGTGCGATCTCAGCTCACTGCAACCTCCACCTCTCGGGTTCAAGTGATTCTTCTGACTCAGCCTCCTGAGTAGCTGGGACTACAGGCGTGTGCCACCACACCCGGCTAATTTTTTTTGTATTTTTAGTAGAGACGGGGTTTCACCATATTGGCCAGACTGGTCTCGAACTCCTTACCTTGTGATCCACCCGCCTTGGCCTCCCAAAGTGCTGGGATTACAGGTGTGAGCCACCACGCCCGGCCAAAAAATTTTTTTAACTGAAAAAAAGATATGCTAATTGTAGAAAAAGCATAAAACTGCAAGAAAGAGATAATTTTTAAAAGCCATCTTTACTCCTACTACCAGAAATAATCACTGTTTTTTGGTATATTTCCGAATTTTCTTCTTTGCATGCGTATACATATATAAATAGTTATGGGATCATACCATCCGTGTTGCTTTGTTACTCTGTTTCATGTAATACTAAATCGTGAAATTGTTTCATGTCAATAAATACACTTAAATGATATTAAGTGCCTAAATATTCCTTTGCAGAGTTGTATTATTATTTATTTAATGAATTGCCTATTATTGGAGATTAATGTTGTTTATAATTTTTTCTTAATTTTATTAGAGATTGGGTCTTGCTATGTTGACCAGGCTGTTCTCAAACTCCTGGCCTCAAGCAATCCTCTTATCTCTGCCTCCCAAAGTACTGGGATTACAGGTGTGAGCTACCACGTCCAGTCTGTTTATAATTTTCGGTGATTATTCTTAATTATTTCCTTAGTATATGTTCCAAAGAATTTAATTGCTAGGCCAAAGCTTATGACCTTTTAAAGGATTGGGATAGTGTATCGGTCAGACAGGCTAAATGTTGTAACAGACATAGCCAAAATCTCAGTGGCTTAACACAATAAAGATGTATTTCTCTTTTATGTCACAGTTTAACACAAGTCATTGGTTGGGAGTAGAAGGCACTCTGCATGGTCGTCTGGAACCAGGGTTTGCCCACCTGATGGGTCTCCATTTGCCCCGGCCTTGGACTTCTCCACTGGATGCTCTGATTTCACTTGATAGGTAAAGGGAGAGAGAGAGAGCATGGAGAATTGCACAGGTAGTTTCAGGGTCAGGCCTGGTGGTGACTCACATCACTTCCTCTGCCCACCTTCCAATTGTCCAGAACTCAGTCACATGACTGCTCCTAACTGCAAGGAAGGCTGGGAAGTATAGTCTTCCTGAGTGTCCAGGAGGAAAACAAGAGTGTAAGGGACCCAGAACAAGCATTGTCTCTGCCTCAAACACAACCAACTTACCAATCAGCAATGTTTTTCCAGTTATGTATGTATGTATGTATGTATGTATGTATGTATGTATGTATGTATTTAGAGACAGAGTCTCATTCTGTTGCCCAGGGTGGAGTGCAGTGGTGTAATCTCGGCTCACTGCAATCTCTGCCTCCCGGGTTCAAGTGATTCTCTAGTCTAAGCCTCCGGAGTAACTGGGATTACAGGTGCACGCCACCACACTCAGCTAATTTTTGTATTTTTAGTAGAGACGGGGTTTCACCATATTAGCCAAGCTGGTCTCGAACTTCTGGCCTCAGTTGATTCCCCACCTCAGTTTTTCCAGTTTATATTCCCACCAGCAGGGTACAAGGATTCCTATTTCCCTACTTCCTCATTAATTAAGGGGATGACACTCTTTCCGTTGTTTTTATAGATCTGCACGGAACAATGCAGCTTCTCTGCATGACTGGAGTTTGTTTTGTCTTTGAAGATAATCTCACTAGGATCCAGACCATACCTGCTGGAGAGTCAGGACTCTGGATTTCTGACTGTTTTGAGGACAGCTACTCTCATCCTAGGCTGATCTGAGTTTCTGGGTCTTTCTCTGCCTGTTCTTTCCTCTCCCCTTCCCTTCTCTGCAGCAGAAAGTGTTTTATGTGGGTGTCAGCAACATCAGGACCTTCCAAACCCCTTGCCCCAGTATCATCCCTGAATGCAAAACTCACTTAGAGGCCTAGGGAAGAGATTAGAGCTCTGCTTTTCCTCTGCCACCTCAGGTGTATTCTAGCTTACGAGACACTTTCACAGAAAAAAAATTCAGGGAATGGAATGGGAAGGCAAAAATAGCTGCTTGATGCTGACTTGGCACATTGACTTCGACCAAATCACCTAGCGCCTCGTCCTTAGTACTCTGGTGACCACAGAATAATCCTCGCACAGTGAGTAGTGGAAGTCAGGAGGAGTAAACTGCCTAGATGTCATGAAGGGAAAGCAATAGACTTGTGCAAAGTCTATTCTTGTCTGTTTCCCTGTGAATCCAGGTTGCTGAACATCGGCCGATGTCTGAGCTGTGGTTTTCTTCTGGTTTTGAAATTTAATTACTAGAAGACAATGCTTTTGAATGGCTTCTTTGCCATGACTTCCACAGGTCCTGCTGGCTGTTGCCTAATGAATGTCTGATAGGCCTAGCCCCTTGGCAAAGCAATGTTTTATTTGCAAAATTATGCTTGTCCAGTGCCTCCTGGGAACTGAAAGCCTGGCATCAGCAGAGGAACACAAACCGGGCAAATCATGGATCTCCAAGGCTTGCATTGCTTGGGGGCCATGGCACACAGCACTGCTAAAAGCCTAGGACAATCTGTGTGTTTTAGGAGCAAACCGATGCCTCGCACTTCTAAACCGTATCCTTTGCTCCCTCCCTGAGAGGCAGCCGTGTGCTCTGGGCTTCCTAGGTAAGTGACTCACACCAACTCTAAGCCTGGCTTATGACCTAGAAAAGGAAACAGGAAGTGGCTTAGAGACATAAAGAGCACAGCCCAGGAGGGGCTGCCATGGAATTCTCCTTAGGTGAGAAGGGGTCCAATGGGCAGAGGGGCAACTTGGCATCCTCTCTTTCCCCGCGTTACCACGATGCCCTTGGCAGGGACCATTTGATGGGGAGTCGGATGTCTTCCTGGGGGTGGTGAACAGGGGTGAGGGAGGGGGAACTGCTGCTGGGTCAGTAGCTCCTCTCCAGAGTGAGCCCATCTGTAGAATGCCATGCCCCTTCTCTATCCCATCTTTGCAAGTGGGCTTGGGTTCTTGGGATGAGTTTCATCAGGCCTTATACATGCAGACTGTGAAGAGGTGCCTCCAACAAGAAAAACCAGTCTCTGGCAGGTCCTCTAAGGGCAGGGATTCTGGAGAGGCCGCCCTGTCCTCAGCTTGGCCCTGGCACATTCTGGCTGCAGGTAAGATGGCTGCAGCAGAGGGAGGGGAGGGGCCTCCCTGTTGATGGAGACCACCATGCAGGGCTTCACTATGCTTCCCTTTCTGGCTCTCCCAGGGAGGAAGGGTGGCTGGTGGCAGGGCTTGTGGAGGCTCAGTCCTGGGCCTGGTCCTGCTTCTCTTAGAGGTGGCTGGTTGTGCAATGGCATCCCGGCTGCTCCTCTTGGAGCCCTATGACCACAGTTCTAGGCTCCACCCCCATTTCTCACCACTGGTGGTGAGAAATGGAATTTTTTGTTTTGTGTTTTTATGCTGTTCCCATAACACCCAGCACCTATACCCAAGGATGAGTCCTGAAGACCCGTAGCCATGGCAGGGCAGGGCCTAGGTACTGAAGGAGGATCCCACTCAGAGGCCAGTTCCACCCACTGCAAAATGCCCTCTGAGGACCCTCACTAGACCAGTTCCTCAAAGTGCGGTCCGCAGGCTGCCATCAGCGGAATCATGGGGTGAGGAAGGGGCTGGTAAAAACACGGGTTCTTGGCCCCCTCTGCAGACCTCCAGAATCTAACCCTCTCAGGAAAAGTCCTGGAAATCTGTGTGTCTAGAAGCACTTTCTTCTCCAGGTTGGTCAGCTCAGAAATGTCTAAATACTTTTCTCAATACCAATCCCGGTCTCATTTATTATCCTTCTCATGAAAATGATTTGCTTCCTTTCAACCTTGTATGACCTCTGAAAATATGACCTAAAGCAGAGGGTCATATTTTCTTATGCACTCACATAAGAAACATCACCTGTGGCCTTCATTGGCAAGCATGGATTGCTGTTTTCAATCAGGGGCTTTGAAGGAAGACACTTTTGATCATCGGGCTGCCTCTATCTGCCTTTTCACTGAGTTGTCACTATTAAATGCCCTTCCCTGGCTTTGCCTTCTCTCTTCTCCACCAGAAAATGGGCCTGCTGCTCTAAGAGGTTGGACTCTTGGAGTCCTCTAGCACAGGGGCCATGAAAATCAATGACTTCCTTGTTTGCTGATGGAGCAGAGGTAGAATCTCTTGGTGTTTCCACAGAGAAAATGCTGACTGTGAAGAGCCGAGAAAGATGACATGATGAAGCCATCAGGGGAGGCACCAAACATCCTTAACTCTGCTCACCTATGGTTTTCTCCAGCCCTCCCAGAGCTCCTCCTGCGTGAGTAATGCAGTGTGTGCTGGTCAAGTGTCTCACTGAAAAAAGAAAGAAATCCTGATTTGCAGCATTGGCCAATTTCTGTAGTGTAAATACTCCCACCATGGCAGATTTCAGGTTACCAAGGGTTTCACAACTGGTTCACAAGTCTTGACTGTAATGACCAGCTCATGCAACTCCAGCACCTCATCATCTCCGCCTTGTCCCAGAAAATCCCCACATCACACCCAGGCTGAATATCACTTTCAGCTTCTCAGTCAGAAGGAGAAGTGGTTAAATATACCAGGATGGTAATGACTAAGTATCAGAATGGTGAGTGTGGAGGGTCAGGATGTCTGCCAAATTGGAGATGACTCTTCACTTCTCAATCTTGGTGTCTCATCTGGGGAAGGTGGAGGGAGACATGCACAGCTTCTCATGAACCGTCCTGGAAGCCCTTACCCCAAGGCCTCACAGGGCTCTCTCCAGGGCTTGCTCTTTCTCACTCTCTACTTTAAAAGCCTGTGATTCATTGCCAGAGAACAGAAGGCTCCAGCCTAATGGGCCAAGTTGAAAATGGTGGGATTGGGAGCTGTCTAGACTCTGGGTCCTGCCTTTTGTTTTGGCTGGTGTCAAAATGGACTCTAAAAACTGGCCTCAGGAAGATTCCCCATCAAACAACCAAAGACTGAACAGCCTGGACTGACCTTTTTCTAATTTTTAGGGGTCTTGTGAACAGGAGTCAGGTGGGCGGGCAGCTCTTGTAAAGCTGAGTGTAACCAAATTTGTCCATAGCCTGTGACAGCAAAGATCACAAAACTCTTCCTTTCCCTTTAGGGCCTGGGAGTGACGCCGAGTGACGCCGAACCGAGGGGAGGATGGTGACCTATTTTATCTCCCAAACATTGGGCAGTCAGTTACATTCGCAGATTTAAAATCCACCCACACTGCTGCAGTTTCTGTTCTCCTGCCCCCCAGGCATACTTCTGGCTGGAGCTGGTTTTGTAAAATGGAGTTGGCTGTGGGTGTGGGAGTCCTCCTCGGAGAGCCTGGTCTGACAGCCCCAGTCCACAGCCCTCCCATGGGCTTTTGGGCTGCTCCAGTCCTGGCAAGTGCACAGCGGCAGGGGAATCTGGTTTTGTCCTGGTCTCAGCTGGGGAAGTCTAGTTAAAGAAAGAAAAGGTCAGCCGGGTGCAGTGGCTCACACCTGTAATCTCAGCACTTTGGGGGGCTGAAATGGGCAGATCACGAGGTCAGGAGTTTGAGACCAGCCTGGCCAACATGGTGAAACCCTGTCTCTACTAAAAATACAAAAATTAGCTGGGCGTGGTGGTGGATGCCTGTAATCGCAGCTACTCAGGAGGCTGAGGCAGGAGAATCACTTGAAACCGGAAGGTGGAGGTTGCAGTGAGCTGAGGTCCCACCACTGCACTCCAGCCTGGGCAACAAGAGCAAAACTCTGTCTCAAAAAAAAAAAAAAGATATCGGTGGAAATGAGATCTTTTTTTTTTTGAGTGCCTTGAATCTGGGGTCTCTCTAATATTCTAATCACTCAATCACTTAACAAATATTTATTGAGGGCCTACTAGGTGCCACACATTGGAAGACAGCGGAGGGTGAAGCAGAGTCTGCCCTCAGGGAGATTACAGTTTAGATTACAGGCAAGACAGCGCTTACACATATAATTCCAGATGAGTCAATAATGACAGGGGTGCAGAGGCTTTGAAGCAGAAGCATAAGGTGCAATGGGAACATAAAATAGGGAAGCTTAATGCAGACTGAGGGGCCTGAGGAGGGTTCCTCGAGAAAGTGAGGTTGAAGCTGAGAACCTGAGGGGTAGTTTGCATGCAGTACAATCGAAGGTTGAAAGGGAAGATCCTCCAATGCACAAAGAATTTATGCTGCAGAAACATTGTCTTCCTGAGGATACATTTGGGAATGTAGGTAGAAATTAACTGTCTTGCCTTCATATACAGTGTAGTGGAGACCACTGTGGATCTCCAACGTTTGTCTTTTCTTAGTAACAAGTCCCCAGTTTTTGCTAGGTACATAGCTACCCAGAGAAAAAATTATGTGGCCACCTTACTATGTTCTGGCCAATGAGATGTCAGCAGAGGTAATGTGCGGGGCCTCTGAGAAGGCTCTTTTCTGCTACTGGCTGGAGGCTGAAAAGCCATTAGGGACCATGAAGAGACATGCTAAGGTTGGAGAGTCAGCGTATTACATGGAGCCTCCTTCTCTGATGGCAATGGGCTGTGAACAAGCCCTGGATTGCCTATTTCCCGACTTCTTTTGTAAAAGGGAGAAATAAAGGTCAATTTTTTTAAAAGCGTCTATTATTTTGACATTTTCTGTCATACACAACCAAATATAATCCTAACTACTATACATGGCTTCTTTTTAGCTTAATGAAAAGATCATTGTTCTGCACTACACATAAATTACCTATTTCACAGAAAAGTCTGTTATTACAATATCTATTTTCCCAGCCTTCTTCTTCACCTCCTTGATCCCCTTATCATCCCTCGGCCCTGCACCTCCTCTCTTTCCTGACTCCCACACTACAGCTAGGCCTGCCCTCTGTGCTTTTGCCTCCAGGAATGAATGAGACTCACAGCCTGAAAGTTCTCCAAGCCTCGGCTACCTTCCCTCAGTGGCTGCCCTGGCAAAGGTCCTGCAGCACGGAATCACACAAAGTCCAGCAAAGCAACTGGTCTTTCCTGCCCCTTCTCATCCTTCCCAAGAAAGTGTGAAGAGTTAGAGTACTCAGGCAGAGCTGGAAAAAGTGCACCCTTTTAGAGAAACCACAAGAATGATTGGAGGTGCTTTAACTGAACTGCCCTGCCTTGGGGTTTTCAATCTGTGCAGAATTTAATGGATCTGTTTCCCCAGTCTCTGGCTAACCAAATCCAAGACATCAAGAGTCAAGGGGTGAAGGTCAGCATGTTTAGTTACAAACCTTTGGGGCTGTCTGGGGTGATTGCAGGCCTCAGCATGCTGGCTTTGGGTGGGATGAGGCTGGGGTTGCATAGAATTCTGTCCCCCCTGCCCGTGCCTCAAAAAAACTTGAAGGCTTAAACCCCAGTACCTCAGACTATGGCCTTATTTGGAGATAGTCTTTACAGAGGTAATCAAGCTAAACTGTGGTCATTAAGGTCAGCCCTAATCTAATCTAACTCCTGTCCTTATGAAAAGGGGAAATTTGGCTGGGTGCGGTGGTAGCTCACGCCTGTAATCCCATGACTTTGGGAGGCCAAGGGGGGCGGATCACAAGGTCAGGAGTTTGAGACCAGCCTGGCCAATATGGTGAAACCCCATCTCTACTAAAAATACAAAAATTATCTAGGCGTGGTGGTGCACGCCTGTAGTCCCAGCTACTTGGCAGGCCGAGGCAGAAGAACCGGGGAGGCAGAGGTAGCAGTGAGCCGAGATCGCCACTGCACTCCAGCCTGGGTGACAGGTGAGACTCTGTCTCAAAAAAAAAGAAAGAAAAAAAGAAAAGGGGAAAGGTGTGGACAGACACATCCACAGTGAGAACAGCATGTGAGATGCAGGCAGAGGTCAGGGTGAAGCTTCAGCAAGCCGAGGAATACCAGAGATTGCCAGCGAACCACCAGAAGCATGAGAGAGGCATCCAACAGATTCTGCTTCTCAGCCCTCAGGGAAGCCAGCCCCGCTGACACCTTGGTCTTGCACTTCCAGCCTCTAGAACTCTGAGAAGACAAATTTCTGTTGGTTATGTCACCTAGTTTGTGATACCTTGTGGGGGTAGCCCTAGCAAACTCAGGCAAGGTCCTTCAAGTACCAATGAATGGAGGAGTTTGGTGACAGCCGCTGGTCTCAGGCGATTTCCTTGCAGCCTCACATCGGGACATAAAGACGTGGGGAGCAGCTGGCCTCCTCTATTTTTCTGTAGCTGATGGAAAGTGAAAAAAAAAAAGCACAAATAGCCTCATGGCCTCAAAACGCTGCATCCCTTCAAGCATCAGGTGTTTCTCTTTCAGAAAGGTTATTTGCACCAGTAACAACTATGTAAATAGTGCTTGCTAATTTGCCAGGAACTATTCTAAGTGCTTTAATATTCTAATTCCTTTTGTTATTGTGACAGAGGAGGAAACTGAGGCACAGAGAGGTTAAGCGAGTTACTTAAGGTTAGCAGCTAATATGTAGAGAAGGTGAAATTTGGGGGGTTTTGTTTATTTGTGTAGAGCTGGGGTCTCGCTATGTTGCCCAGGCTGGTCTTGAATTCCTGGCCTCAAGGAATCCTCCCATTTCAGCCTCCCAAAGTGCTGGAATTGCAGGTGTGACTGCACCCAACTGAAAAAGGTGGGGTTTGAACCCAAACAGACTCTCTCCAGAGTCCACACATTTAACCACGACATCTTTAAGTGCAGAAGCTGGAGTCCATCCGATCCTGTATTGGACACAGTAGTTCCTGATTGAGATTGGTGTGCTGAGTGAAAGCCATTTCCAAGCCATGTCGTTTGTCACAGTGCGTGTGTGTGTGTGTGTGTTTTAACCCCTTGTGTCTATCACTGGTGGCTGGTGGCTGCCCCAGTCAGGGCTACCTTGAAACAGCAGTCACCCCAAAGCAGCAGGTTCCCCTCTCTTCTCATGCTCATTTTCTGGAACTCTTACCTGGCCTGGCTGGGCCAGAACTATCCCCTGGATATTCCCCTCAGTAGAGGAGCTCAACGAGTCCTCTCTCCACCTGCAGGCAACCAGGGTATCCTGACAGAGACCACATCCTTCAGAAAGGCCTTTTCTGCTCACTTCCTGGGGGTCATGGTACACAAGATTACTTCCCAGAAAGCACGACTGATGCTGACTGGCAAGGTCTGTCTAAGTATCTATCTATCTATCTATCTATCTATCTATCTATCTATCAATCATCTATCCATCTATCTATCTATCTATCTGTCTGTCTGTCTGTCTGTCTATCTATCTATCATCTGTCATATATCTATCTATCATCTATCTATCTATCATCTATCTATCTATCATCTATCTATCTATCTATCTATCTATCTATCTATCTATCTATCTATCTATCTGTCTATCCATCCATCTAATCTTTTTTTTTTCCCTTTTCCCGGCAGAAAATCTAAATGTCTAAATGGGTAGGCATCCTTGAAGTTATGAACAGTCTTTGCAAACCCCAACTAAACCCTTTCTTTGTTGAATGATTCTTGCATGTGCACAAATGCACACGTGAAAAAACTTTGTAGGTGATCTCTCCTGCCCGGGTTCCGTCCACCTCACCCACTGCTTGGTTTCTGCTTGTGGAATTGGAAGTCCGCAGGGATAGGGGAAGAAGGTCAAAGGACGTCCACAGGCTCTGCAAAAGCCAGCCACTGGGCCAAGCTGCCACCATCCGGCTCCTCCCACTGCCTACTTTACCCATCTCACCTCACAAGGGGCTAAGCTAAGGTTGCTTTGGGCATGGGTGGGGCTTTTTTGTTTGTTTGTTTTTTGAGACCATGTCTCACTCTGTCTCCCTGGCTGGAGTGCAGTGGCACAATCACAGCTCATGGCAGCCTCACCCCAGGCTCAAGTGATCCTCTCACCCAAGCCTCCTGAGTAGCGAGGACCACAGGTATGCCCCACTGCACCTGGCTAACTTTAAAAACTTTTCGTGGAGATGGGGTTTCACTATGTAGCCCAGGTTGGTTTGGAACTCCTGGGTTCAAGCAGTCATCCCACCTTGGCCTCCAAAGTGCTGGGATTACAGATGTGAGCCACCATGCCCAGCCTACATGGGGCATTTTGTTAAACAGAAATGAAGACTCAGTTGCTACTAAGCATCTGTGCCACTTGTTCTGTGACAGCTCTTCATTTTTACTGTTTTATTCCTTACCATAACCGGATGTTAACCTCATTTTTAAGAGGCTACATTTGAGGCCTAGCAATTTACTCTGGGGAACTTGAATGAGAGGCTTGGAGCCTGGGCTACAGCAATTCTGAAAACTCCACTCCATGCCCACGATCCGCCATGTCAGTTACGGAGGCCCCAGAAATGTGTGCTAAGTCAGCATGGAGACTGTTTTCTGGGTAAGGACATTTGCATTTTCTCTTTTGTTTTTTCAACAATGAAAATGCTTTGAGTTGATTTTCTAGACTTGGTAACAAAGAGGATGATGACAATAATGATGCAAAAGTACATGAAATTGGGCTGGGCATGGTAGTTCTTGCCTGTAGTCCCAACACTTTGGGTGGCCAAGGTGGGAGGATCACTTGAGGTCAGGAGTTCGAGACCAGCGTGATCAACATGGTGAAACCCTGCCTCTACTGAAAAAATACAAAAATTAGCCGGGTGTGGTGGTGGTGTGCACCTGTAATCCCAGATACTCAGGAGGCTGAGGCAGGAGAATCACTTGAACCCGGGAGGCAGAGGTTGCAGTGAGCAGAGATCATACCACTGCACTCCAGCCTGGCAACAGAGTGAGACCCTGTCTCAAAAAAAAAAAAAAAAAAAGGATGTGAAATTGGTGGTAAATCATTTACTGGGGCCTATGCTGTGGTAGACTCATGGACAATACAAACATGAGCCTTGCTTTTTAGGAGCCTAAAGTCTGAATGGGAAGGTCAAGCTCTATGTGAAGCAAGTGGACAACTGAGCTTTCTCTAAACTGAAAGTGGCTTTACTGAGGATGTGATGATCTTAAGGACAGAGATCCCTCCACTTGTCTCAAGGAAGGAGGGATTTAACGTAGGAGTACACGTGGTTGGTGCTGTCGTGGAGACAGCTCCGAGGCCTGGGGAGGCCTCTCCAACTCACCCCTCCCTCAGGATCCCTGCTCTCTCTGTGCATCTGTCCCCTGCTCCTGTCTCTAATGATGCTTCCTCTGCTCATTCAGCTCCTGTTCTCTCCTAATCTCAACTTACATGTGACTTCACTAGCCGGGATTCTGTCTCCACCTCTAGACATCCTTTCATCTTCAACTACTACCCTAAGTAGTTCATTCTTTCAGTATTTGGTAGTTCTAATTCCCAGGAGAGGCTCTGATTGGCTCAGCTCCTAGGCCTCTGTAAGCCTGTGTTTTAGCAATCCTTGGTCACTTGTCCCTCCTGACAGTCCAGTCAGATGTGGCCAGGAATAATCACAAGATCACCTAAAGGGCTCTGGGCAGCTAGACACCTAAAACAATTCCAGGATGGGGGTCCCTGATGACAATCTCAACTAAAGGTCATAGGAAAGAGAATCGCTCTGAGCCAGAGAGAGTAGACTTCACAGGGCACCGAGATGGCCAGGACTTCAACACACAGCATTTACATCATAGGAGAGAAGAGGAAGCTGACAGGCAGGAATGGCTGTGGTGGTAGACTGTTGCAGTTT